GACCCACAGGTGGAGAACCGCTGGACTAGACAGACCCAATTCCAGCAACCGTTCCTTGTACGTTTTAACCTCCAGTCTCCTGATCATCTTTGCTGCTCTTCTCTGTACTCTTTCTAGAGTCTCCGCATCTTTTTTACATCGTGTACATTTTACATTGTGTAAAAAATGTACATTTTTTACAGTTGCACTCTTCTCTCCCGTCTTTCTAGTATTACTGTAAATGTTGCTTAGCCATGATAATTGGGTCTCGCCCTCAGGAAGTGATGCAGTCACAAAGCCGGAGGTCACGTGACTGCTACAACTCACGAGGGCAGATGCGGCACTCCCAGTCGCCATCGTTTAGCAACCCCTGCGCAGTTGCAGGACCCAGTGGTGAGGGGATCACCATTTGTGACCCCATTCTTCTGTTAGATGGGGAATGAGTCAGAGTGGAGGACCAGATGTCTGCGAAGTAGAGTTGGGGGTTCAACAAGACCTCAACCCTCGTCCTGACTGTGGAAGCCATATCCAGATATTCCTTTTGTCGTTACTGTTTCTACTCTTCCCCAACTAATCTTCGATCTCTTCCTAGAACACAATGTGGACCATTTATGGAGCAATTCATGGACTGCAGTTCACCCAACGGTCCATAGAACAAGCTCAGTAGGTACTCAATTTGGGTCGAGTCCAGGAACAGGTGGGGGTCGGTCAACAGAGCGTAGCGAAGACTATATAAGGAGCCACTCTCGCCCTCTGCACAGCTTCTACTGGATCCTGCTTTTTCCACTCAGCTCAGTTGATTCCAGCTCTTTTGGTCCACCATGAAGTTACTTCCTGTCCTGCTAGGAGTGGCGCTCCTGGTTCTGATTATGGAAACTGGGCAGGCAGAGGGTAAATCGAAAAAAAAGTCTAAGGAAAAGTCAAGCATTAAAGGACATTGGAGTAAAGGCGTGGTAGGTAGATGGACTGACAGCATTTGCTGTTCCTTGAGTTTATGGGTCTATTTCTTTCTCTGGTGCAAGCCTGTATTTAAAACCTAAGTTGATCATAATGCAAAACTGCAACAAACAGTTGTCTGAATTTCCACCCCATGTTTGAACGGTCTCTCTTCAAATTCCTCTTGGTTGGTTGGTTGTTTCTTTATTGCATGCTGTGAATTGACTTCTTTGGCAGGCACAGTAGGGATTAATCTCTGCACAGACCTTTCTAACACACTGGTAAAGTGCCCTGTTGAAGGAAACCCATAATCTCATACACTTGGCATTAAAAGAGCCCACCCAAAAGTATCTGGGGGAAAAAGCTACCTGGGATCTCATAAACCGGCATTAAACAATGTGCATTCAAAGACATGGTACGGCAAGCAATTTGGAAAACATGGTGATCCATAAAACCTCACAGTTCTAATTTAATTCCGAGCACTTCAGGTTCGCTTTAGCAAAAAGAGGAAAGGAGGTTCAGAAGCAGAAATCTTACCAGGCTGTGGATATTTTTCATGGGAGAACTTCTTTTCCAGGCTTGGCCCCTCAACATTTTCAGTGGAATAATAACCTCCGTGGCCATCTCCTGCCTAGAAATACAAGGAATTTTTGTCAGGATGGTCAAGGACATCCATAAACCTTAGTTCCTTTTTATTTGAGAAGCTTTTGTTTTTGTTTTATTTTAAACAAGTAAAGCCGGTCTTTCTTTCACCTGTTTTCCACTGCAGTAAAGAGACTTGACTTAATCACAGGCTCATCTGCCTGAGATAATTGTCAGAATATTTCAAACAGAGACATGTGGCAAGAAATTTAACTTGAAAGGTTTTAGGAGAGACTATTTGTAAAGTGGAAACACCTCTTTTTTCCTGTTAACAGATTAAAGCAACTTGGAAATCATTTAAAAAGGTTATGAAAAAGCCTTTGATTGAAGTGACGGCGGAACCAAAAAAAGATGAAGCAGAAAAATCTACAGACCAGAGTGATGATTGGAACTGGAATGCTGCCTTTCCCAGTTACGACTCTTCTGACAAAGCGGAAATTGAAATGCCAGCCTCATTGACCCACAAAATTGGGGCATCTTAAACAAGGAAACCAGGAGTCCAGCCTTTTTTGTGATTTTTCTAAAGGAATAAAACAGAATAAAGCATGCTTAGTAGAGTCTTAAAGCATCGATGTCATGTCTTCATTCCTTTTCTTTTTCTTATGTGATTGTTTCTGCTTTTAGGGTAAGGTGTTCAGATTCATTTGGAGGTGGATGGCCTCTTAAATTGTGAAGGGAGGGTGACCCTTACCCTGTGGGTGCCTGAGAAGAACTCAAAACCTGCTTTTGCCATGGGGCCTGGGGGAATCTCGTGGAAGGGTGAAGCCCTATTGTGTGTATGTTTGCAGTCTCCCCCTGTATGTCTGTGGAGATCCTCAGTCATCCAGGCCATAGTTGTCCCAAATTTGCTTTTTCACAAGGCAACTGGACTTTCTGGGTTGTCTTTGAAGACGTGTCGCTTCTCATCCTAGAAGCCTCTTCAGCATGTTTGGCCTAAATGGAGAGAAGGCACCAGCGGAGACACGATAGCCGGCTTTCATTATTTGAAAAAGCCGGGAAGGGAAGAGGCATCCATTTGTTCTCCATCGCAGCAGAGGGCAGTGGAGGAAGTGGACAGGGTGAAGGATTAATCAAGGGAACAGTTCGCCTCCTGACGTTGTGGGTGTTGAAAGAAAAAAAGTGGACATCTGAGAGTTGGACTAGAAGACCTCCAAGGTCCCTTCCAGGCCTATGACTCTATGGTTGTATGAAAATCTGGCAGTTCAGCCAGGTTCCTTCTCCTGCCTCTCTCCAGGGTGCTGAAAAAAGGGCCACCTTCCGCAACTGAATCTTGCATAGCACCAGAAGGCTCTTACAATGGAGAATCCATCCACCAGCCAATTGCACAATTGCTGTTATGTGACTGGATCGTGATTGTGCTCTAACGTTGCAACATTTCCTCACAGTTTCTCCTTCCGCCCAGTAATTTTCTCTGCCTTTCTCCAGTTCTACAGAAAGAGACCAAAACTGCAGAAAAACACAAGCAGCGTAAGACTAGGAAACCTGTCCAAAGGTCTTCTTTCTCTTGTTTAGTTAAATGTACGTTAAGAGGGTGTCAGAGGTCAGCTACATTATTTTATTATCGTCATTGATTGGAATGGCATTATTATTTTATATAATCCCAGGTGGTGAGCATAGCTAATGCTGCTGCCTCCTATTTTGCCCACAATAACCACAACTCTTTCAGTAGTTCCAAGAAGGCTCCACATACATTTGCACCACTCAGGTGACCCTGAGGACACAGACAAACCTCCAAGTGGCCTCAACGACTCTCTCAAAGGATGCAAATGACCAGCTGTCTGCAAGGAGCATAAATCCTTCTGTTCCCCACCATCCGGTCAGAACTGAAGAAGCTTCTTGGATGTGAAGTGACACATCTCCAAAGAAAAAGAAGGACGTCCAGTTGTCTCCTGAAAAAGCATCTTTGGGACAGCCACAACCTGGATGATTCTCCGTAGACATTTAGCTTTTTACTTTCTACAGAGATATCTTACATAAGTTCCCTTCCTGGGCGTTCAGTTATTGGCTATTTCTAATTTTTATCCAGCAATTCAAACGGATGGGGCTCTTTAAAACTGCCGTTTAGCAGCCAATCCAATTTTCCTTGGTATGTTCTTTCAAGGAACATCGCAGCTCTGGGCTCAGCTTTGCAGCTTACGTTGTATTCTGAACCGCTTTTATAAGGCAAAGGGAGACGGTGTTCTAAAAAATCTCACCAGCCCAAGGAAACCACAAACAGTAAGCTTGTTCACCAAACAAGACAGGTGGATAAAGTTGCTAAATGTCAGCCGTAGATTAACCAACTAAAAACTTTAACCGAGGGAGGGGAGAAAAAGAGAATGGATGCTGTTTTGAAGGCGCAGGGTGAACACTTTCTATTCTATCGTTCTGATCAATGGTTACGGCCCCTGACCAGATTTTATACAGTTCCCTGTCAGCAATTCACTCTTGGATAAAACTAGCCTCTCTCACGAGTCATGCAAGAGGAAGAAAACGGCAAATGATTCCACAAATTCTGGTCTCTTGGGGTAGAAATCAGCCCCGCCAGGAGGAAAAAGTCTTCCTTGATCCTAAAGAGTCTCTTTGGTTTTGCATGTTTTACTTTAAACCACGTTCTTTCTGAACACACAGGATTGTGCATCGTGTAAACGCCCTGAGTATTTTTATCTCTGCTTTCGCTTCTGCTTCTGGAGGAGGAAAGGGGGGAGAAAATCTACAAAACTCAGCCTTTTGTCCAAGAAAAAAAAGTATAGAACAGTGGTTCTCAACCTTTTTAATGCCTCGACCCCCAACCGGTCGTAAGTCGAGGACTACTCAACCGGTCGTAAGTCGAGGACTACTCAACAGGTGCAGCAGCACCGTTTGCAGAATGGGGCTTTTGGTGGGCTCAGCAGGGCAGAGACAGCCTGGACGATTCCTATGGGCTTTTGAAAGCCAATAGAATTAGACTCTATTCAAGAGAGTCTATTCTATTGGCTTTCCAAAACCAATAGAATAAAAGGGAGTAGCACAGCTAAGGAAAAGGGGGAAAAAAATGGACTGCGTTGTTTGGCGACCCCCGTGAAATGGTCGTTCGACCCCAAATGGGGTCCTGACCCACAGGTTGAGAACCACTGGTATAGAAGAACGCAAGGTGCCTGGCTGCCTTTACACAACTGTTTCTTTACACAGCTCTGGAACTTTTTTTTTCTCGATTTCCAGATGTAAGAATGTAAAGGGGGGGGGAAGTCTGTCTAATTTCAATCAACATCACCCAGTGGAATGATCTCCCCCCCCCTCATTTCTGCTGTTATGTCATAAGTATCCCCTGGGGTTGGACCTACATCTGGAGCATTGCCGATTCTCATTCCTCAAACAGCTGATGCTGCCACTTCTCTCCAACCTCATTGGTTTAGGAGAAGGTTTTTCCCGGCTCCTGTCAACTGGCACAACTCAGAGAGGTTTTTATAAAAGGAGATGCCGCATCCAGGCAGAATACACTGAAGCGGGTTTGCCTCTCACCGCTTCTCTCTGGCAAAAGCTTTGCCGAAATCTATCCGTCATGCCGACGGTGGGCAGGTTTGTGGCGGTGCTTCTGCTGACCTGGAGTATGAGCTCAGCTGCCCTGCCAGGAGAAGAAAACTTTTCTGCACAGACCAGCAGGGTGAGTTTGGAAACAAACAAACAAACAAAAAAATGACATTCTTTCAGTCTCTTAGGAAGAGGAGGATTTTAAGGAAAAGGGCTTTAAAAGAAGAAGAATGAAATAGTCCGTGCTTCTGGCTGGTGGGACGTCAGTGCATGAAAAAGGTTTTCTCGTAATGAGGGGTGTGCGTTAGGTGGTCCCTGCGAAGAAATCAGAGACAAAGCAAGCAGGTATTGGCGAGGGGGGGGGGAAGAATAACTGATCAGAAAGAAGAGAGCCTTATTCTAAGCTTTTAGTTTAAATCTTGCCTTGGGGATTGGAAAAAAAGAAGGAAGAGTAATAGAATTTTAAAGAATAACGACGCCAGCTTTTCTGAGTTCCCTCAAAAGCCAGTCCGTGTGTCCTCTCGCCACAGAAGAAAAGGGGGAAGAGATAACACACACACACACACAGAGTCTGAAAAGAATCGCAGAATCCTTGCCTCATTAGGCTATCCCCAAGACAAAAGCAGGCTAGGACAGATTATTTTCTAAATAACCTTTCTTGCATCTTTAGTGGTGTTCCAAATCCATTTGAGAGCCATAAATTGTTGGTGCTTTGGTTAGGAATGGACTTTATCTACATGTTAGGGGGTTGCCAGCTGCTTATAGAAAATTTAAATCCAGGCACTTCCAGCTGGAAGGAGCAGGAGCAGGGAAGGGAGGAATCCTCCCTACGCAGAGTCTGAAAGCGTAGAATTAGCTGCTTTCTTATATTCTGATTTACCATGGACAGCCCCGTGTCACAGCGACCACTGCAGATGGCTCTTAAAAGTATTGGAAGGACACCTTTTCAAAAGATGTCTTTTGATCTAGTAGATCCCGCCCCGTTTGAACCCAGATATTCCAAGACAACTGGGAGGAGATTCAGTTGTCTGATCCCCACCAGCCTTGGAAGCTGGGAGGGACAAATGGCCACGGGATAACTCGCCACAGGAGAAGCGTTGCACTAATGTCGAAGAAACGGTGGAATAGAATCATTAAAGAAAGGATGCGAAAGGAGGGACAAAACGAAACGTGAACGACCAGAAACGAAAATGTGTTTTTCGTCATTTTAAATCATTGCATTCTGGAATTGTCCCATAGCCAGTTGTCCCAGGGTGAGTTGACCATGGCAAGTTGGCCGTGGTGTGTTGTCCCCATCCAGGGAGAGAGGAGCATAAAACCTCAGATAGACCTGTTGCGTCGGGAAACGTGAACTCAAGCCCGACTTCTGGGGAGAAGCCAGCTGGAAACAGAATGAGGCTGGCTTGCAAATGGGGTTGCTGCTTCAGGGAGGCTTTTTCAGTTTTTCTCTCTCTGGCCCAGGGGTCTGCAACCTCGATAACTGGCTGAGGAATTCTGGGAGCTGAAGTCCACAAGTCTTAAAGTTATCGAGGTTGCAGACCCCTGCTCTAGCCTACGGCCCTGGGTTCAAACCAGATCCAGTCGTGTTTAGCTTTTCAGTCCGTGTTCAGACAATGAAAAGGACTCCTTTGGGAGGAGAAACAAATGCCACAGAGGTGTTATTTCTACGGCGTTCTCCTTATACAAGTAGTCCTCAACTTACAACCGTTCATTTAATGGCTGCTCGAAGTTACGACACTGAAAAAGTGACTTATGGCCGTTTCGCTCACTTAACGATCATTGCAGCACCCCCATGGTTTCACGGTCAAAGTTCAGACATTTGGCAATTGACTCATATTTATGACGGTTGCGGTGCTCCGGGTTCTGATGAGCAAAGTCAATGGGGGGGCAGCCCAATTCACTTAACAACCGTGTGACTAACTTAGCCATTGCAGTTGTTTCACCGCAGAAAAAGTTCGTAAAGTGGGGCAAAACTCAGCGATCAAAATTTCGGGCTCAACTGTGGCCGTTAAGTCAAGGACTGCCTGGATCAAGAGGAAGGGGTTTGTCTTCCAGATCTGAAATTGGATGTGGTTATCGTGATCTCTATGTGAATTCCCCCGGTTTTTTTTTCTCCCCCTGCCCTTTAAAGGACAACCCCTTTCCTACAAGGATGAAAGCATATAAGGAACGGCTGCTGGAATTGGGTCTGTCTAGTTTAACGAAGAGAAGGACGAGGGGGGACAGGATAGCAGTGTTCCAGTATCTCAGGAGCTGCCCCAAAGAAGAGGGAGTCAAGCTCTTCTCCAAAGCCCCTGAAGGCAGGACAAGAAGCAGCGGATGGAAACTAATCCAGGAGAGAAGCAACCTAGAACTAAGGAGTAACTTCCTGACAGTTAGAACAATTAACCAGTGGAACAACCTGCCTCCAGAAGTGGTGAATGCTCCATCACTGAAGGTTTTTAAGAAAAGACTGGACAGCCATCTGTCTGAAATGGTGTAGGGTTTCCTGCCTGAGCAGGGGGCTTGTACTAGATGACCTCCAAGGTCCCTTTCAACTGTATTATTATTATTATTATTATTAACAGCCCCTTCTCTGTTTTTCTCTCCCTCTCTCCTGCCTCCTTCGCGACTCTAGGAGCAATCCAAAGCTCAAAAAATTCTCGCTTGGAAAATGCTAGCAGGGCTGCTGAACGGAGTAGATGTCAATCGTGACGCTGCGGCTTTTCCCAACTTCGAGGACCCTCTGGAAAGAAAACTGCCGGACGAGCCCTGGATGCTGGGGCAGACGCCGCACCTCGGCCCGCGGGATCGCAAAGCTCCGTGTAAAAACTTCTTTTGGAAAACCTTCACTGCCTGCTAACACATCATCTGCAGCCTTTCTGGCTTCTGTTGGGTATGTTTGCCAATGGGCCAGAAAAGAAGAAGAAGAAGAAAAATAAAAATAAATCATGGCCTGTAGTTGCTCCTGTCCATCCAGAAGAGTCTTGATCTGCGGACAGGGTGGGTGGGGTGGGGGTGGGCTTCCTCATCCCATTTTTGCCACCTAAGTAAAGTCCACGCATCTTTGCAAATCGGACAGAAGGATTAAAGGCAAAGGACGGGTTCAGTTGCTGCTGAATGCTTCCCACACGCCCCTGGGTCTTGTTAAAGTGTGGCCGGCTTTCTTTGTCTCTTTCGTTCGCTTTTCTTTCTTTTCCTCATCAAAGCACAAACTCCGACTTTCGTGATGATTTAACTGACAAAATAAAGCATGGCCTGAAGATGTTGGTTATTTTCTGGTCTCTCTCTCTGTCTGTCTCTCTCTCTCTTTCAAAAAACAGGGGGAGGGCAGCTCCTGATTTTAATCACAGGAAAAAAACTTCAGGGAAATGTCAAATGCCAAGAAAAGTGGATGTCCGAGGCGACGGATATGGCTAGAGCTCCAGGCAGGTAATATGGTGTCTCACAATTCATTCTAATTCAGTGGTTCTCAACCTGTGGGTCGGGACCCCATTTGGGGTCGAACGACCATTTCACAGGGATCGCCAAACAACGCAGTCCGCCATTCCCCCCCCCCCTTTTCCTTAGCTGTGCTACTCTCTTTTATTCTATTGGCTTTTGAAAGCCAATAGAATAGACTCTCTTGAATAGAGTCTAATTCCGTTGGCTTTCCAAAGCCAATAGGAATTGTCCAGGCTGTCTCTGCCCTGCTGAGCCCGCCAAAAGTCCCATTCTGCAAACGGTGTTGCACCAGTTGAGTAGTCCTCGACTTACGACCGGTTGAGTAGTCCTCCATTTACGACCGGTTGGGGCTCACGGCATTAAAAAGGTTGAGAACCACTGATTTAGACTTACATACCGCTTCGCAGTGCTTTACTAGCCCTCTCCAAGCAGTTTACAGAGTCAGCAAATTGCCCCCCCCCCGACAATCTGGGTCCTTGTTTTACCGACTTGGGAAAGACGGAAGGCTGAGTCGACCTCGAGCTGGTGAGGATTGAACTCCTGGAGTGAGGAGTGAGCTGGATTAGCCTGCAGGGCTGCATTCTAACTACTGCACCACCACGACTCCTTAATCCCCCTTAAAGCCCTCTTGAGACTGGGGGATGCATGGGGAAACAAGTTGATGATAGAACTACTAAGCACTCTGTGGTTGCCACAGCTAAGGTGTAGATAGCACTTCCTCTGAGCCAGAATAATGGAGGTTTGAGGATCAAGTCAATGTCAAAGGAAGCGAGGTTACGCCTACTTAGCTTTGCTCAAAATCTGATTGATTTCTGGAGCAATGTTTGGGGTGAAAAGGAAGCACCAATGCTCCAATCAATGCCTGAGTTATGGGGCCAGCCCTTCCCTTGGGCACATTTGCTAGCAAGGCACCGTCCTGTTCCAAATCTCAAAGTGATCATTCCACCCACCAAGAAAACTTTTTTTTCCAATTAGTTCCCTCAAGCTGCATCCTCCCAAAGTCATCTTTTGCCCTGAGCAGTCAATATGATGGCTAATATTCCACAGCGTTACCTCCAATTCTCTGCCGGTGACAAATGAGCGACAGACCATTTTTCCTTCGGTTAACCTTCGGCAGGATGTTAGATGCCACTTCTGTTAAGAAACAAAACAAAACTCAGGAATCAATTTCAGAAGATGATTTGGCTTTCACCCTTTGCATTCTGAAAAGCAGGCTGTAAGCTTGGCCCTACAAGCAGGCAGCCAACATGGTAACATTCAAAACACTGCTTACGTATGAAATTGGGGGTTTGGGGCAAGAGTAGGGGCGCTGCCACTGCAAACTGACAGAAAGGAAACCAGCCAGCCATGAAAGGGGCTTGCATGGAAAGCACTGACTACGTTTATAGGACGCGCATCCCCATGGCTAAGCATTCAGATTAGGGGGATGGCTTAAGGGGTCTAATTTAGGGGGTTCACACCACACACTGGCTACAAACTAAGCACAGATGCTGTGTTTTGACAATAGCCCAACATGCAGTCTGTGCTCCAGGGTCTTGTGGGACCATACTTCTTCCTGTTGGATTCACGGTGAGCCCTTCCATGGAGCCCCTTCTTCAGAACACGAAGGACTCAGAGTCAAGGAGAGGGAGATCAATTAGGGGGCTGGGTGTCCCTTCCTTGTCTTGGATCATTATCTTCATTTTTGCCTCTTGCTTGGCTGCTGAGGGCTTCTGGCCTTGCTCAACCTGGGAGGTGATGGCTATGAAAAGGGACGAGGCAGAACCTTCCTCTCTAACCACCCACCCCCTCCTTGAACTATTAAGGGCCTGATTTGGACACACACACCCCTCGTCAGTGAAAAAGCTATGCCCAGGGGCAGCTCGCCGTGTCTAAAAATTATCAGGCCCAGGCGACCTGGGAGGGAGAGCTGACACCAAAGAGAGTAACTCAAAGAAGAGCCTTCGTTTTTATGCCCGTTTTTTGCTTTCTCCACTGAGTCATAGATGCTTAATGGAGCAAAGCAAGAATTAACAGCCAGTATTTAAACAGGAAGAAGTCGTTATGAATAAAGGCAATTTTTTTTTCTTTCTTTCAATAGGAAGTAGCTACTGGCCAAAGCGTCCTTAATTGAAGAGGAAAAATTGTACAACTAACCGAGTAAACTATACAAGACACACAGCCAATAGACACACACACACACGTCTTATGCAACATAATTGATGAGCCCACCGTTCCCAAATTTCTGGAGATGTAAGCCCTAAAGATGAGGGTTCTGTTTCCATGCTGACTACTTGAACTGTCACTAAACAGTGGGAACCACACAAAAAATAATAATTCAAAAGTAAAAAAAATTATTAGAATAGAAGGGAAGGGACCATGGAGGTCTTCTAGTTATTAAATAAATAACACCCCACCAAAAAAAAAAAAAAGCTGTGAAAAGTGTGGACCAATAATCTCATAAATTGGAAGTAAACAAAAGCACTCAAGTACACGATGCAGGCAATAAAAGCAGAATTTGCAAGAGATATAATGATCTATAAAACCCCACAGGGTTAATTTAATTCCAGGCACTTCAGGTTTACTTTAGCAAAAAAAATAGCAAGGAGGCTTAAAACTATAAAATCCTACCAGGCTGAGGACAGTTTTCACGAGAGAACTTAATTTCCAGGCTGTGCTCCACAATTAATGGAATAACAGTGACCAACCTGCACCTAGAAATGCAGGAAAATAAGGATCATCAATAAATCTTAATTCTTCCTTTTCAGAAAACAAGTTTTTTTATTTTATTTTAAACGAGTAAAGCTGGCCGTTCTTTCATCGGTTTTCCATTGCAGTAACGAGACTTGACTTAAATCAAGATGACGGCTCGTCATTTGAGAGCGGGCTAAAGATGAAACTCCAGTCCTTTGGCCACCTAATGAGAAGGAAGGACTCACTGGAGAAAAGCCTAATGCTGGGAAAGATGGAGGGCAAGAGAAGAAGGGGACGACAGAGAAGGAGGTGGCTGGATGGAGTCCCTCAAGCAGGAGGCGTGAGCTTCAATGGACTCCAGAAGATGGTAGAAGACAGGAAGGCCTGGAGAAACGTGGTCCATGGGGTCGCGATGGGTTGGACATGACTTTGCATCAACAGCAACAAAAAAAATGAACCACATCAATCTACGGATCAGCCTGATGATGGGTTGTGGAATGCTGCCTTGACCAGCTCAAGGTTGAACTCAGCCTTCCATTTTTCCGAGGTAAAATGAGGAGCCAGATCATTGGGGGGCAATAGGCTGACTCAGTAAACTGCTTGGAGAGGGCTATAGAGCACTATAAAGTGGTATATAAGTCTAAGTGCTGGTGCTAGTGCTATTTTTTTTTATTGAGTTACATATTCTAGTTCCATTACAAAATATCAGCCCCGGTGGCGCGGTGCTTACAATGCAGCATTGCAGGCTAACTCTGCTCGCTGCCAGGAGTTCGATCCTGACCGGCTCAAGGTCGACTCAGCCTTCCAGCCTTCCGAGGTCGGTAAAATGAGAGCCCAGATTGTTGGGGGGCAATAGGCTGACTCTGTAAACCGCTTAGAGAGGGCTGTCAAGCACCGTGAAGCGGTATATAAGTCTAAGCCAGTGGTTCTCAACCTTTTTAATGCCGCGACCCCCCAACCAGTTGTAAGCCGAGGACTACTCAACTGGTCGTAAGTCAAGGACTACTCAATTAGTGCAGCACCGTTTGCAGAATGGGACTTTTGGCAGGCTCAGCAGGGCAGACAGCCTGGACAATCCTGTTGGCTTTTGAAAGCCAATAGAATTAGACTCTATTCAAGAGAGTCTATTCTATTGGCTTTCCAAAGCCAATAGAATAAAAGGGAGTAGCACAGCTAAGGAAAAGAGGAAAAAAATGGCGGACTGCGTTGTTTGGCGACCCCCGTGAAATGGTCGTTCGACCCCAAATGGGGTCCCGACCCATAGATTGAGAACCACTGGTCTAAGCGCTATTGCTATTGTCCTTCCTTCCTTCCTTCCTTCCTTCCTTCCTCCCTCCCTCCCTCCCTCCCTTCCCAGTGGTTCTTTCCCAGAATTGCAGGCTAACTCTGCATTCCCACTACCAGCAGTTCTATCCTGACCGGCTCAAGGTTGACTCAGCCTTCCATTCTTCCGAGATCGATAAAACGAGGACCCAGAATTTGGGGGGGGGCCATAGGCCGACTCTGTAAATTGCTTAGAGAGGGCTGTAAAGCCCTGTGAAGCGGTATATAAGTCTATCTGTGCCTGTGCAGCAATAATCACCAAAATGATGGATCGAGGATGCCTCTCCATGCCACACCACAGCATGTACCCACATTTTTCTTTGAGTCAGAGGTTCCCCATGCAACTGAGAAGACCCAAGAAAAGAATCTAAGAGGTAGAAGTATGTGGTATTTACTATCAGAGGTGAGGGAGACGATTTTTTTTTAAAAAAAGGCAACAAGAAAATTATCCTCTTTCATCCCTGCCGTTGACATGCGCTTAATTTGCTGCCCGCCCGCTAGGCTGAATTTAACAGGGCTGTAAGGATCAGAAATTGCCTCTGATGAATTGGTGCTGAAGCCTCCCTCCTGGGCTGCCACGCCAGGGGATGAGCCATTATTCTTTCAATTTAGTTCGCAGATGTCTTTTAATAGGAATTAGAACTCTCCATATGGGGCTCCTTTCACAGCGCGCAGGGCAGCTGTCCAGCCTCACCTTTCCACCCACCTTCAGAGGGCCGACTAATCAGAATGAATGAGCCGGTCTTTCACGCCAAATGGCATGTGGATGGGCTCAACCCGCTTTTTGCTCAACCCGTCAGCTGCTCGGAAATGTAGAACGATGCATCCCGGTGAGGGTATCTTTAGGAAAACAACAACGGTGAACTCCCCAAGGGCTTTGTTTTTTGTTGGACAAGTTTTGCTTTTGAGAATGAGGATTTTTTTGGGGAGGGGGAGAAGAATCAATGAAAAACTCAAGGTTAAGATCACGTGAAGTGTTAATACCACTTTACAAGGCCTTGGTAAGGCCACACTTGGAATACTGCATCCAGTTTTGGTCACCAGAATGTAAAAAAGATATTGAGACTCTAGAAAGAGTGCAGAGAAGAGCAACAAAGATGATTAGGGAACTGGAGGCTAAAACATATAAGGAACGGCTGCTGGAATTGGGTCTGTCTAGTTTAATGAAGGGAAGGACAAGGGGGGACATGATAGCAGTGTTCCAATATCTCAGGGGCTGCCCCAAAGAAGAGGGAGTCAAGCTCTTCTCCAAAGCCCCTGAAGGCAGGACAAGAAGCAATGGATGGAAACTAACCAAGGAGAGAAGCAACCTGGAACTAAGGAGAAAGTTCCTGACAGTGAGAACAATTAACCAGTGGAACAACCTGCCTCCAGAAGTGGTGAATGCTCCAACACTGGAAGTTTTTAAGAAGAGATTGGACAGCCATTTGTCCGAAATGGTATAGGGTTTCCTGTCTGAGCAGGGGGTTGGACCAGATGACCTCCAAGGTCCATTATTATTATTATTATTATTATTATTATTATTATTATTATTATTATTATTATTATTAAATTTGAGCATCTGGAGGTAAATCAACTCTCCTCTCTCACTATCTCACATCACAGCAGGCAGCCAGAATCCCAAGGCTAAGTGGAATTTGAATCAAAAATATTTCTCTCTTAAAAGATAGTGTCTTATTACTAAGAGAATCGCCTTCAAGATTTTTTTTTCTTTCTTTCTTTTTAAAAAAAAGCTTTTACAAGCTTAAGTCTGGTATTTATTCTCCTTCTGTCTTGCAGTTTTGGCTTCTCTCTCCATGCTCGCTGATTGGGGCCAGAGAAAAAAAATGCCAGTTTTCTGAGCTCAAGAAGCTGCTTAGCAGATATTAAGAGAAGAAGAGAGGAAGTACTAAATGTTGAAATAAGAGAAAAATTTTGGTTACTAAATTTAAGATATTTGGAAATGATCAGAATATAAGAATATTATATTGTATTATTAATTGGTTGGTATAAGATGGTGAGAATTCAAATGATGTGTATCCTGAATGTTAGATCTGGTGATGAATTGTGATAAAGGGAATTGGGATTATTTAAAACTTGGCAATTATACATACTAAATGTTAAAATTTAAATGTCAATGAGAAATTAAAAATTGGGAAAAATTAATCAGGGCATTGATTGTCTAAAAAGATTGAATGTTAAAACAACTAGAGATAAAACATATAAACAAAAAGTATTGATAAATGTAAGAAAGTTATTTGTATTTAACCGATACAATAAGAATTGTATTCATTCAAATATGAGACAGTAAACACCAAAGGGAAAAGAGAGGAAATATTTAATGTAATAGTTTTGAGATCTGTACTAAAGATATTTGTATGTTATTGACCTATTGACCAACTCAGCCGCCACGTTGCTTTTCAAATATTTAAATGTGAAATTAGAAAATCAATAAACTTTTTTTAAAAAAAATAAAATAAAGAAGCTGCCTTGGAAGATCTGAAAAATGAGAACTGGGTCATCTCTTATTTGGCCAGTTCTTAACATGCACAGTTTTGCTGGAAAATGGCAGTACAGCAGATGGATCGTAATATGCAGTGGGTAGAAGTAAAACAGTCAGCTCTGAGTAGAGACACATCCACTTGCGAAGTTAAACTGCCTTTTGCAGCTGGAAAATCAGGCCCACCTCCCTTTCCTGGCACGCGGCTTTATTTTCAGTCCTGACATAACCATCATTCTCCCCCCCCCCACACGTCCCCACATCACCCTCCCGGTCCCCAGCTGCCAGCTCTACTTTCCCAAAGGTGTAAAATTGCAATGTTACCTTGAGAAGAAGCTTAGAGGTAGAGAGAAACTGGGAGGCGAGGGGAAAAAAAACTTTTTAAAGTCTTTCCAGCCTTCGTTTGGGTGCCTCCATAAAAACACATCCCCTAGCATTAGGCCAGATGTCGCTCACACACTTGGCCTCCCTTTGAGGACTGAACAGGTGACAGAAACAGGAGGTGAAAGAATTGGGAAATTTAACAAGTTTCTGCTTCAATGGATCCCATCTCCTTGACCTGCTCTGTCCCCAGAGGCTGCTAATGGCTCTGTTAGAAGTTTCCCTGAAAATCTTTCAAGACAGAATAACAATGTGGGAAGGGACCTTGGAGGTCTTCTAGTCTACTCTTCTAGAGTAACATTTCAGTGTTGAAAAAACGTTATTTTAAAAGAAGATGCTCTCTCTTTTTTTGCCTTCTCTTCATCTGTCACTCAGCACTCACAGAGTGCTGCTTTGGGGGGTCCTAACTGTGATCTAATTCAAGCTCAGAAGCAGGACTTGAATTTAGATCTTGAGCCCATTGTGCACAGCGTTCAGCTGATGCCCGTCTCCTCTCCGTGGTGACAAGCAGACCCGGGAGACGGAGAGAAAAAGATTGGACTTCTTTTGACATGGGACAAGCTCACCGTCTCTTGAAGGTGTAGATTCTACTGGGCCAAGGACATTAGGCATATTGTCGGGAGAGCTCTTCTCATAAAGCTGAAGACGCTCCGATGCAATTGGATGGAAATCAGGGGGTTTTATGACTCGCATCTAAGCTCAGAGCCAACTTGACATCTGCTCTGGAGAATATGACCCATTATCTTTCAGTGCTTGTTTGCTGCTTGTCGCAGTGATGAAAATGAGACACCGGGTTGAGGGGAAACAAAAAAAAAAGTACAGCAGTTTATTTTTTAATGCACCTGACAAGCTTCAGATGGGCGATAGAACCTGGTCAGAACATCATGTATTATGTAATTTTGTGTTAGCTGAAAACACACAAGTATACTGTATAGACTATGCACTTGTGGGCACTGGTGCCTGCAGGGATTTGAACGGAGATTTCTGGTTTATAGGCAGTTTACTCCTTGCAGTGAGAAGCCGATATGAATTATCTGGGTTCATCCCCTGCGATGGCCAATCAAATCATTTGCCCTCAAATGAACAATAAAAAAATTGCAGACAGACCCACTTATCTTCACGCCCCAAATGAAATCGGCTTAGTTAATTTTTGATCAGCCATCAGTTCATATTTCCCTTCTGCTCAGGCCCAAAAGTACGAATTGTGATTTTTGCAAAAGACAAAACGACAACGGAGCTGTACGTGGATAATAAAATGGCAAGATAATTGCAGACTCTTGTCAATCCAGGTGATCTTCAAAACAAGCCGCAAAGAGGTGGCAGAGGTAGGGGTAGGGTGTGTGTGTGTGTGTGTGTGTGTGTGTGTGTGTCTAGGGTTCTTGAGTAAGGAGTCCACTGAGTGGTTTCTAAGTAATTCAGAGGCCATCTGTGTAATTAAAGAAGCTAAGTGCTGGAGGAGAACTTATTCAGCTTGTACTAGGACAGTGGTGGTGAACCTATGGCACGGGTGCCAGAGGCGGCACTCGGAGCCCTCTCTGTGGACACACGTGCCATTGCCCCAGCCTTGCCTCCGCCCGTGACCCCCTCCTCACCAGCAGCCTCCCTGGAGGAGAGTCGCCCCTGAGCATGGCCCACGCGGAACAGCGCAGCCAAGGACACGGCAGCCTGGCAGGGTAGACAAGACTCTGCCCTCACGCCCCAACGCACACAGTTGATGCTGCGGGGTGTGGGCAGAGAGTGTGGCTGCCATGGCGCTGCTGGGCTGCCTGGAGGCGGACAGGCAGGGTAGGGCGGAGCCGGGGGTGGAGCAGAGGCAGGGCCAGTTTTGGGCACTTGGTCTCTAAAAGGTTCGCCATCACTAGACTAGGATCTTGGGCTACTAAGTAAAAACCAGAAAAGCAATAGACTGCCAGGGAAGACAAAATGGACCTCAAGAGGACCTGGCCTATTCACACATGACAGCTTCATATTTGCTGTCGTGGGCTGGAAGACCTGGAAATGGGGAATTATGGTTCATCTTGCTTGATGTAGAGATGTCAAGTCAATTCAGCACTGGCCTTCTGAAAAGGATGAAGGAGCTGTGAACGCGAGTAGCTGACAGCTAAACCGGCTATCCTTTGAAAAGGTGTTTCCCCTCTCCTATTATAGAACTGATACACCTTTCCTATTTATCTCTCCCAGTACATCCTTCTCTTGCCTGAGAAAAAAACGTCTGGCTAAAATACTAGAAAAAAGATATTGCCTGTCCCTATGGACCCAGTTTGTGGAATTTTCTTTTTCTTTTCTTTTTTACTAAGAACAACCAGTTACAGCCAGATTCAAAATGTCTGTTAGGGAGGAGAGAAGCACTTCCCTAATGTCCTACCTAGTAAATGTGGAAGAAATGTGAAACAGCCTGTGAAACCACAACTCGCGGAATTCAGTGTAAAAGCATCTTATCGGGGGTGGATTTAATCGATAAGGGAAAGCAAAATATTTAGAGTTTTTTCTTTTAGGTCTGATTTAAAAATGCAATAAAAGGGGGGGGGGAGAAAGTCCTCATTAAGGCAAGGAGCAATCGGTTTAAGGTTCCAGGCGCCATTCACTACCGCTACCATTGCCCGCACAGTATATTCAGACAAAATGAAAGTATTTTTTCCCTCCTTTCCTTTCTTTTTCTCGCTGCAAGAGGTGCCGGGATTTCTGACAGGTTCAGGACATTGCACAAGAGCGGGGAAGACCCAGCTGAGGAAACACAATGGCTATTGCCAAATGCAAACCCTCCCTCCTCCTCTCTCGGCCCACAAAGTTGTGTACTTCCCTGTACCTTCCCCATTTTATCTCCGTTCCTTCGCCCACAAGTGGCATTCTCTCTTTTTTTCTCAGCTTGGGTGTATCTCAGAACAAGCTGAGACGTTAAAAGACTTTAGGTGCGTGTGTCTCTCTCTCAAGGGAAAGAAGAGAGAGAAACGGACGGGAGCCTATCCCAACTTCTGCCGCTTGCCTTTTGACAGAAAGTAAGACCAGAGTTCAAAATTCAGACAAACATCGCTGAATCAACACAGGAAAAGCCTTCCTCAACAACGTCCATAGGCCAGGGAAAGCAATCGACTGCAAAACCCAGGTGTAAAAAGACAGGAAACCCTGCTGTGATGAGGTATGTTCTATCTAGGGCACTGCTGGAATTAAACAGGGGGTCTCAATGTGAGCTTGTTTCAACTCTTCTGACCAGCAAAATCTCACTGATCTTTGTAAAAAAAAAAAAAACAACAACACTACTAACGTAAGCAGCCGTGAGAGAAGCAATCTCTCTTACAACACACTGAGGCACAGATACAACTTGGTCTCCAGGGAGAACCTAGTTTGTCTCGTTATGTGGGAAGGAGAACAAGCAGAGGGGGTCTCCTTTCCCTCTATTGTAACGATCTCGGCCAATATCTGTGAATTGCCATTATCTTGTTTTGATGGGGAAACGCTTTCGTAATTCAGTGCACGGTCTGTGGTGAGCCACCAGGGCGGCTGTGTGCTTGTGAAACTGTCTGTGAGATTTCCCCCTGCTACTGCAGGCCTATTGAATTTCTGAAGACAGCTTTAGTAGGCTGTTTGATAAATTAATGGGGAAGAACAGGGTCTCGTCCAGCTTCCTGGAGGATTCTGTTCAGTTATGGAAGGAGACAAGAGGCCGCATTAAATCAGTCTTTTAATTGGATCAACCGTGGCTTTTCTTCTTGGGTTCTCTCTGTTTAACGATGTGTGTTGGGCTTTCTTAAATTTAGCTTCTACATGATGATGACAGCGATGACAAATTGGCAAATCTGGCTTGGACAGATAAGAATCGAAGTTTGTTATGTCCGGGCAGTCTACAGAATTCAGTCAATGTCTGCCTGTTTTAGTAATGGGATTCAAACGGTTTTTATACCCGACTCTTTAGCTTTACAGAATATTTTTAAAGGGGCAAGGACTGCCATTCGGCTCAAAAAAATCTGAAAAGACAGAGAAAGGAGATGAGATGAGGAAACGTCAGTCAGCATGAGTGAAGGATCCGCCAGCTAGGGGTTTTTTTGTGCGGTAATTTTCCCTATTTCCTCTGGCAGATTCTGCTTCTTGCTTCTCGCTCTGTGGCACGGAGTACTTGGTGATGTCCTCCAGCTAGACAAAATGTACGGGAGGATCGCCTCTCCAGACTTCCCCAATGTCTATCCTAACAGCAAGGAGAGGATATGGAATATCACTGTTCCCCAAGGCTATGCTCTGCGCATCTATTTTACTCACTTCAACCTTGAGCTGTCTTACCAGTGTGAATACGACTATGTCAAAGTACGTGAAAACTGCTAGTGCTGTAAGCCTGGCTTGTGTGCATGTGGATTCCAGGGAGCAAGCTTTTTTGATTCCAGTGAGCAAGCAACCTGACCTTGTGTCGTATTTGTTTGGCTCCAGGAAGATGGGGCAAGATTCTCTTGCTTTGGGAGACCCCGCGTGTCCTTACCATGTCGCCAAAGAACCTCGGGGGGGGGGGGGAAGGTGCAAGTCAACGGCTGAGCTCATTTCTTGTGTTTGCTTTGCAGCTAGACTCAGGAGGAAAGGTCGTGGCCACTCTCTGCGGCCAGGAGAGCACGGACACGGAAGAGGCCCCTGGGAAAAAGACATACCGCTCCATTAACAACAACTTAGCAGTGACTTTCAGATCGGATTATTCCAATGAGAAACAGTTCACGGGCTTTGAGGCCTTCTACGCTGCTGAAGGTAAGAGCAGGAGAAAAATGGCTGGGGGGGGGGGGAAGGTGGCAACCTTATGGAAATGGGGTCTGCCTGAGACCCCCCCTCCCATTGGTGGAGGCAGGACTGAGTCCAATGGGCACTAGTCTGATACGGTAGGAACTAGTTACTTGATCGTGAAGTGCTATATTTGATCAGCAGGAGGTTCAGTCTTGGACTTCTCCTGGAAGCAACTCTTGAGGCTAACCTAGAATTGCTGCCGCTGGCTATGATCAATAATGTAAGTTTAGGCACAGGTACAGTGGGGCAAAGTAGGGGGTGGAGTTTTTATCTAGTTTTCACCTAGAAGGTGCTTTGGAAGTTACAGTATAGTTTCGTGTGTATTCTCTAAATCAGGGCTCTTCGAACTTGGCCCTTTGATGACTTGTGGACTTCAACTCCCAGAATTCCTCAGCCAGCGTGCACGCTGGCTGGGGAATTCTGGGAGTTGAAGTCCACAAGTCATCAAAGGGCCAAGTTTGAAGACCCCTGCTCTAAATCGAAACCGAGGGAAATCGCAGGAATTGTACCGCTGAATATTGGAGAGATCTGCAAAAGACGTGGAAAAAACCACTGGACCAGAAAGACCCGTAAACTAATACCACTTACAATCCAGTTGTGGTATTTCCCAGGTTGTGTGTCAGCGACCAGCCTGCTGCCTCTTGCTTCTACAAACCTTGCCCCAAAGAGCCACATTTTATTCCACAAGTCAAGCCTGGCCCTCCTCCATTTCTGTTTTTCTCTTTTAGACATTGATGAGTGTGAAGGGCAAGCTGATGGTGAATTGCCTTGTGACCACCACTGTCACAATTACCTGGGCGGCTTCTATTGCAGTTGCCCGATTGGCTACCTTCTGCACAGGGACAAGAAGACTTGCAAAGGTAAGTTCACTTCCTGGAAAAGAGGGAGGCTGAAGTAGTCAAAAATTGGCCCGCGCGCGTGGATACCTGAGCCTTTTTTAAAAAAAAAATAAATAAATCACCATTTCCCTAATTCGCTGACGCAAGCAGCTGCTCCATGTTTCATTATGACTTAAAACAAGCTAAGCTGACCAAATAGCTTCAGAAACTCTAGCAAGCTTTGGTAACTTTAGAAAAAGAAATTAAAACCTGATATGCCGCTCACTCAGAAGGATGCTATTCACCAGCGTCGTTTGCTTCTTGTCCGTCTTTCTCGTTTCCAGCGTGAAATAAGCCTGACGCTCCCCACCTTAGGCAGAGATGGAGACAGTGGTCTTCTCCCGAAAAGCCGCAGAGGGCTACCTTCATTCCGCTGTCTAGCTCTTCCCTCTGCTTCTCCCATGGTGATCTGCCTCCTGTGGTTAATAAAATGGCTTCCACCCGTTCCCACATTTCCGCAAACTTTTATTTTGCAATGGCACGCTACACAAGGGAAGAAGGGAAACGTAAAGAGGTCACCAGCTGGGCTGAAAGCTGCCCTGAGAGGACTAGGCCAGGAGGGAGAGTGGACAGGCACAGGATCATATAAGGAAACGGTATCCTACCCAGATCCAGCAGGTTTCTTGGGGGGGGGGGGGAAGGAGGAACCGGAACGAGGCGGAAGCAGAATCACAGGAAGCTCCCGTCTCATCTGAAGCTTAATTGCCAGGAGAGACCGTTTTCCTGTCCACCTAAATCTCAGCACATCACTGCTTCATAGTCCAATCACATCACACTTAGAAATTGGGCATTTTGGAACAGATGAACCAAAAGAGACCTGAGCTTTTCCTCTGGGTTTGTTCCATCAACCTCCCAATGCCTCTCCCTCCCTCAATATATTTTTCTTGGCACCCTGGGGAGGAAATAAAACACTTGGGGAGGACAGTTGGGGAAGGAAATAATCATAGCTGGGGCCCCCTACTAATCTGCTTCCTATAGGAGCCTAAAGATCAAAGCAACTCTTGGTTTACTTCACCCATAAGACCTATCATCTCAAGGGAGACTTTCTAGTGGGGAATTGACGGTTAAGCTCAGACCTCCGTAGACGGTTTGTACTTAAAACTGTTCACCCTTGGTCCTCACCTGTAACTTCCTGTCCATCTTACTGTAGGACGTAGCCATCCTTTTGCGTAAATCATGGTTTATGCTTCAAAGAATCTCAGCTCCCTCACAGAGCCAACCAGCATCTCCCCCTTTATTTTCTAGTCATCAGTCTTTGCCACATTTTCCCAGTCACTCAGTAACCCAATTTATGGGCAACTGTTAATTTCAGACCTAACGATCCAGCAACCACACTCTTTGCCAGTTGAGACAGCCTTGTTTCTCAGTGTTCCGAGTCTCTGGTGGGCACTGCAGCGTTATCTCCAATAAAAAAAATATAGGCCTAAGTGTAATTGAATGCTCTCCTGATACTCCTAAAACTCAGCTGGTGTTTATGGCCAAAGGCAGAACTGGGAGACGGGGGGAGGGTGGGCTGCTTTTGTGCCAAGGCTAAATGTGTGTGTGTGTGTTTGTGTGCTTCTACAAAATAAAAACCCAGCCCTTGTATTCAGGCATGCTGAATTAATATTAATGCCTGCTCCGCTATGTATTAATTGAACTGTGCCTGTGTGACACCTCTGTCGATACGGCTCTCTTACTGGTGCCCAAGCCATCTAATCATAAATTGAATTGCATTAAACTTTAATAGTCTACCAGGAAGAAGTTCGGCGTTCAGCGACACCAGATTCTAGAGAGCGCCGTTTTTCCCTTCGTCCATTCTCTGGCCTTTCCCTACGGTCTCCACCGTGGCACGCGAGCCCAGACCTCCCCTTTTCACCTGGTGGAAGTAAAAGAACGTTTAGCGGAATAATTAAACTCACTACATTTAATTTACATTCAATTTAAATTAAAAGGAAAGGTACTGGGGGGGGAAATTAGCAGACACGTGTTAGAAGGGTAAGTCCTGCCTCTGGAGACACTCTGGCTGTACATTTCTCAGCCACAAAAACTCGTACAAGGCTGGATTTTTACCCCGGGAAACTCTGTTCCACCTGGCAGCTGTGAACGGTGTCGTCAGGAGGCGACTTGCGTTTGGGGAGATACTGAGAAGGAAAGAGGTAGATGGAGGGATGGTTGGCTGTGGCACAAACTGCCCTGTGAACAAAACATTTTGTCTCTCTCTGTTGAGAAATGTGTTATTAGTCAAAAGTGGGAGGTTAACAGGAAAGCTCTTTTTCTCCTTCTGCTCCTAACAGGGCACCAGGATCATAAGCAGGTACCCTGACTGTACCCAGAGGGCCTCAGCACAGACCACCCTATCTCTAAATAAGAAATGATGAAAAGCACCCATCGTTGCTTTAAAGCCAGGACTTAAGAGAGCCCCATCCCCCAAGCTAGGCGATAACTACAATTGGTCATTGATTTACGGCCAGAATTGAGTTCAAAATTGCTGAGGTGGAGAGAGACCATTTACTAAGTGTCCCATTTTACGACATTTCTTGCCACAGCTGTTAAGCGAATCACTGCAGTTGTTAAGTTAGAACAGTGTTGGGATTCAAATTTGTGAACAACCGGTTCTCTGCGTGGATGCCACTTCCGGAAGTCCATTCTGGACCTGGGCAACAAAAAGCTAGCTACCGGTTCTGCCGAACTGGTGCAAACTGGCTGAATCCCACCACAGGAAGGAAGGAAGGAAGGAAGGAAGGAAGGAAGGAAGGAAGGAAGGAAGGAAGGAAGGAAGGCAGAAAGGAAGGAAGGAAGGAAGGAAGGAAGGAAGGAAGGAAGGAAGGAAGGAAGGAAGGAAGGAAGGAAAGAAGGAAGGCAGGCAGGAAGGCAGAAAGGAAGGAAGGAAGGAAGGAAAGAAGGAAGGAAGGAAGGCAGGCAGGAAGGCAGAAAGGAAGGAAGGAAGGAAGGAAGGAAGGAAGGAAGGAAGGAAGGAAGGAAGGAATTCAAATAGGTGAACAACAAAGATGATTTCAATTGCCAAGCGTCTGCATTTTGATCAATGTGACCACAGGGATGCTGCAACGGTGTGAAAAAATGCTCCTAAGTTACTTTTTCCAGTTCTGTTGAAACTTCAAATAGTCGCTAAACGAACCGTTGTTAAGTTGTGGACTGCCTGTACTTGCTCCAATCAATGAATACTTCAATCTCCTGTTAGCCAAGCTTCCCTGTGGAACACTGGGGTTTACATCTCGTTTCTTTCTTACATCAGCTGAAGATTTGAAAGGGTCTTTTTTGGCTCAAAACTCAGTGTGAACCTTGAAATGAATTTTTTTTTTTTAAATGGCATACATTTTTTTTCTGAAGGCGGCTTCTATTTTTTTCTTCTTCTTCTTCCCCCTTCCTTTCAGCGCACTGTCCGAATAAGGTGTTGACGGCAAGAACTGGAGAGTTCTCCAGCCCCAATTACCCCAACCCGTATCCTAAAATCTCCGAGTGCAGCTATAGCATCCGGGTGGAAGACGGTTTCATGGTCATCTTAGAATTTGTGGAGATCTTTGATGTAGAAGCCCATCCAGATGTACTGTGTCCTTATGACATCCTGAAGGTCAGTGGGATTCACGTTATAGGTCCTCTGTGGTAGAAATCTGGATTTTTCACATAGCTCTATTTAATTCACTGCAGGTAACTAACACAGAGACCAGCTTCACAAAGCACCCTGCATCATGATTTGTTGAACAAACTACAAATGGCTGGGTTCAAGATATGTTAAGCCCTAAATTACAGTTCACAAACACATCTCGCTCTGTCTCTGTCTGTCTGTCTGTCTGTCTGTCTGTCTGTCTGTCTGTCTGTCTGTCTATCTATCTATCTATCTATCTATCTATCTATCTATCTATCTATCTATCTATCTATCTATCTATCATCCATCTACATTTGTGCCCTGCTCCTATCTGGATGAACTCTAGGAAGCAAACAGCAAAGCACAAAAGAAACACAAGGGCTTTAAAACAACTGATAAAAATCAAAGAAGAAAATCAAAAAGACTTTCAGAAGCAAAAGTAGACAAATGACATGACAATCTAGTATGATGTGTGAAGCCAGTCAACGCCACAAGAAACCTTCAAAATAAATTAATATTTACAACATATTTCTATTTTACCACACTTGTGAGCCACGAGGTCCTGTCCACAATGACCCGATACAGGCTTTCCAAAATTTAATCGAGAGGGTTTTCCCCAAAACTACTTGCCACACAATCATTTAAATTTAAAGGTGCAACCTGAAATAAGTTTAAAACTTGCCTTTTAAAAAAACCGATGGCACATTTCTGCACACCTTCTAAAGCCATTTCTTTCTCTACTGTAGGATCACACTGACAGGGATGCTTATGGAATGACACATCCTAAGACCATACGGTATTTGTGTTACAGTCAATCCAATGAATTTCACACATTTTCTGCAGCCTCACAACAGACGAATTCTATTTTGGAGGTGTTATCTTCAAAACTTAGCATATTTAAAATAAGATAAAAAGAAATTTAAAAAACAATCGAAGAAGTTTCTTTCTTAAATGGGGACATCAGACAGAGCTTCTCAGACTGCAATATCTGGATGTTGAATGCTATAAAGTGCCTATATTTTGTGGTTCTTCCAGATTAAGACACCCAAGAAAGAATTTGGTCCATTCTGTGACAATTCCTTACCTTCCAAAATTGAAACGCGTACCAATACGGTGGATATCACGTTCATCACCGACATTTCTGGTGTTCATGCTGGATGGAAGCTCAGATATCACACAACAGGTTAGAAGGCTTTGGGGAAAGACATCTTGACTGAAAGCGCAATCTGGGGTGTCTGGAGAAACTGAAGTATAATAGAAAGTACACGGATGTCCTCCAGTCATCCACAAAGCAAATTAATTATGTTTGGAGAGAGGGGAGAAGCACAGTAAAAGGAAGGTGGGGGGAATGCAAATTTGAAATCCTGTTGTAAAGGGATACAGGTAGTCCTCAACTTACAACGGAGCCCGAAATTTACGTTAAGTGAGACATTTCTTAAGTGAGTTTTGCCCCATTTTTACAACTTTTCTTGCCCTTTTTGTTAAGTGAATCACTGCAGTTGTTAAATTAGTAACATGGTTGTTAAGTGAATCTGGCTTCCCCATTGACTTTGCTTGTCAAGTCGCAAAAGGGGATCCGGTGATGCTGCAACAGTCATAAATATGAGTCAGTTGCCAATCGTCTGAATTTTGGTCCCGTGACCATGGGGATGCTGCAGTGGTCGTAAGTGTGAAAAACGGTCGTAGTAAGTCATCTTTTTCTCAGTACCGTTGTAACTTCAAACGGTCACTAAATGTTGTAAGTCAAGGACTGCCTGTGGTTACACTGACCCTCAAAACAACAGCATTTAAGATCCTTTTGAGGCAAGTTATGCCAATTGTACCAACAAGTTCACAATACAGATGGTTCCTGAAGCAGTTGCAGTGGGGCCAATGATACAGCCCCTATGTTGCACAGATTAAATTTCCATTCAAGCTAGGAAAATTAATAGAGCAAGAATCCGAAATGTAGAGTTCGGTTAAGAACTGTGGGATGATTTAATTGTGTAAAAAGCAGGAAATCAGGGCTGGGTTTTTGTCTTCTCCCCCCCCCCCCCCGTTTTTCCAACTCTGCAGCTTTGCCATGTCCCAATCCTCAAGCACCCCCCAACGGCCGGATCTCCCCAGTGCAGGCAAAATATATTTTGAAAGACTTCTACAGCCTCTCCTGCAACTTGGGCTACGCACTTTTGGAAGTGGGTAACGTTCTAAACAGTTTTTACTTCTATGGGTTGGCAACGACACAGATCGGTATACATTTTTAGCGGTGGAACTTGGGCCAAAGCAGCTTCACCTGCAGAGATGAAAACACGATACATTATATCAGTAGTTCTCAACCTGTGGGTCGGGACCCCATTTGGGGTCGAACGACCATTTCACAGGGGTCGCCAAACAACGCAGTCTGCCATTTTTTCCCCCTTTTCCTTAGCTGTGCTACTCCCTTTTATTCTATTGGCTTTTGAAAGCCAATAGAATAGACTCTCTTGAATAGAGTCTAATTCTATTGGCTTTGGAAAGCCAATAGGAATTGTCCAGGCTGTCTCTGCCCTGCTGAGCCCACCAAAAGTCCCCTTCTGCAAACAGTGCTGTACCAGTTGAGTAGTCCTCGGCTTACAACCGGTTGGGGGCCGTGGCATTAAAAAGGTTGAGAACCACTGCATTATATAAATGTGTTTAATATTGAGCTGTTGTTAACCTTCCCCAGTTTGGGTATTTCTGGTTGGGGGGGGGGGTGAAGGGACATCAAGCTTTTGCATTACACAACAGTTTTTTTGACTTACTGTTTTTGGAACGGTTACCAACAAAGGCACTCTCAAATCGTGATACGAAGTCTCTGAAATCTTTCGTTTTTCCTCCCACAGAACAAACTGATTGTCAAATCCTTCAAAGCAACCTGTCAAAAGGATGGTACCTGGAACAAGCCAATGGCCCAATGCACCAGTAAGTCTTTGCCCAGAATTCACAGGGCACCTGCCGTCCTCAGATACGTTCTTTGCTTCTTGTGGGAGTCCATATCGAGTCCGACAGGACAAAACTCTCTAATGAAAATTGTGGGAGACAATGGTGCATTCGAATCTCAAAATAAAATTTGCCTGCACTGAAATATTTTCAGCAGAGACAGATCAATATATATATCCCAGTTTTCGCTGCGTATTTACTACGAGGGACTTAAAAGCACAAAAAAATCTTTTTATCTTGCTTCCGTTCACCCTCTTAATTCTTCTTTTAAAATGGGCTTCATGCTGCAAAAGCCATTTGGGAAACACTCAAGAGGCAGAATGTGGTTTATTTTATTTACAAGCTAACTAAAAGAATTTGTAAGAATGAAAACAAATGCCTCTGGGTTGCAGACTCCTGGCTACAGATACTCAGAGCCTAAAATTCAAGTCTCAGAAAAAAATGTCTTTGACTTGGGACCCGCTTTTCTATTGCCTAGCCTGCCCCTGTTTTTATCCTGACTTTTCTTGTCTGCATTCCAGTCCTTCAGACACTTAATAGTTCTTCCTTTCCAGTTGTTGATTGCGGCCCTGCCAATGACATAGCAAATGGCACCCTTGTGTACGTCACTGGAAAAGAGATGTCCACATATCAAGCTGAAATCAAATATAACTGCGAAAGGCCCTTCTACTCCTTGAAAACCGGATACTCTGGTAAGAGAAATCTTTTCTGGCAAGTTTGCTTGGAAAAGCTCCCTGTGATCCCAGAGGGAGTTTGTCAAAGGGAGCACAGACTACAGCTCTCCAGTATTCTAGTTAGCAGGATCTTCTATTAATATTCTCTTGTCTGAAAAGCTCTCCTCCTTATCTGACTGCCTCAATAGACACCCCCCCCCAAAAAACCCCCAGCAATTCAGTGCTTATAAAAAATGAATTCTGCCATCCTTGCAGTTTCACGAAAGCTACTCAAAGATTGCCCCCCTGTGCGAATGAAGCGCTGCTTTGGGGGGACTGTGAACCAGCAGACAGAGAAAGAATTCTATAATTATTTGACAATCAAACAGTAAGAGGTGCTCCATTAAACAAAAGAAAAAAGAATGCTGGGCTAGAGTCTTGCCTTAATTGCTCTGGTAGGGCACCGTGTGTCCGCACCTAGTGAGTGAAAACTGCTTTTCAACTTAAGGCATTTGTAAAACTGGTGGAGCAGAGAGGTAAGGATTCCGATATTGCTGTGCACAGAGGCAGGCGCAAGAAATCGGGAGCCAGGGTTAGCTCCAAAATTAGTTTATTTCATGCTACCACAAAGCTAGAATCTATACTACTAACCGTCAAGGCAAATTGACGGTAGATAAAGAGTCCATGAAATTTAAGGAGGGCTGGACTCTTATCTTGTAGGTGCAAAGGGACTCTGAATTGATGCCTGTTCAGCCGGGTCATCTCCTACAGGGGGTATCAGTAAACTGTGGGATGCAAATTGGGGTCTGGACTGTATTTAAGACTGGTGGGAAATGCAGTTTGAAGCATGGATGGCATATCTCTTTACCAAGACTATTCTGTCTACACAGACAACTACCGGTGTGCCCCTGATGGTTTCTGGAGAGATCAAAAGGGAAAGAAAGCACCTCCGGTCTGTGAACCAGGTAATATATATGCAAGTGCTCTACAAAAGTTACATAAGGATATGATCGTAGGCATATGTCACCATTTCCTTGCTTCCTGCTGCTTATCTGCTTCCTGACCTGCCAGCCATGCATAATTGTGTGTGTGTGTGTGTTGGTTTGTATGCGTATGTAAAATCATAGGCATAAAATATTCCAGTTTTTTGTTTTTGTCTCATGCGGATTTTTTTCATAACCGTATAATCAAAGATGATTGAAAGTTATTTTTCATTAAGCGTTAACTATTTCACATTTAACTGTACCAAAGAAACTATTATAGGCACTATTCAAGGCTAAAGACAGGGTATTAGAAGCTTTTGGATGAGAAGCACGTGAAATATCCTTTATGGCAACCTTTAAAAAAAAAATCTTTAAGAACTTCTACATTAGTACAAAATAATCTTTGTCTTTTATCTCATCAGCTATTTAATTAGCCAATGAAACTGCACCATCGGGGGGGGGGGGCATCTCAAACCCAGCCAGTATTTGAAAAGACCAGATTGCACCACGTAGTTGTTGCACATTTTGTGTTACCAATAATAAAGCAGCATTCGTATATGTCAGGGGTGTCAAACTGCCGGCCCGTGGCCCGGTTGCATCATACGGAGGCCGTACCCACCCGTTCCGGCAATGCAAAAAAAGTTGTGATACATCACAACACGTCACGTGACGTTTGACACCACTCAGCACCTGGGAGATCTCAAAGCAAGACCACACATTAAGGCAGTGTTTCTCAACCTTGACAATTTTAAGGCATGTGGACTTCAACTCCCAGAATTCCACAGCCAGCAATGGTGGCTGTGGAATTCTGGGAATTGAAGTCCACATGCCTTAAAATTGTCAAGGTTGAGAAACACTGCATTAAGGAATTAAGGGAAAATGGGTATTTCCATAGTTATGTGGCCTACGTTCGTGACTAAGAAACATGTCTTATATTAAATGTCTTTGAAGCTGCAACAGATAGCGACATGTTACAACGCAGCCGTAGCTTTGAACTTTGTTATGGGAAAGACAAGGATAACCACCTCTTGAGGTAGGGGAAAGAGAAATCTCATAGCTTAGGGGTCAAAAGTGCTGGGCAAACCTGGCATCCAAATTTCAACCACCACCACCCTCTCTGGAATTGTTGGGAAAATAAACAAGTCTGGGACACATAATCCAACTCTCACAAGACTTTTCTAGGACCTGTAGACTGAAGCTGGGAGAATAAAAACTCACTGCACTAACAACAGTTTTGACTCGTATCTCCTTTCTCTTCTTGGCCAGTCTGCGGAGTCCAAACGTCTAACACTCTGAAGCGTATCTTTGGAGGGCAGAAGGCTCTGCCGGGCCAATTCCCTTGGCAGGTTTTAATCACGGATGCGCATGGAGCAACTGGGGGCGGAGCCCTTTTATACGATAACTGGATCTTGACCGCCGCTCACGTCCTCGGCAGCCCAGTTGACGCCTCCTCCCTGACCTTGAAACTGGGGCTCCTCAACAAACGCTCCCCTCATTACCACCAAGTCTGGGCAGAATCGGTGTTCCTCCACAGCGGCTTCGCCAACGACGGCATCAACTTCGACAATGACATTGCTCTGATTAAACTGAAACACAAAGTTCCCATTAACAAAAACATCACCCCGATTTGCTTGCCGGGATACAACCCCGGCTTCCGGGTGAACACGAACGACACGGGAATCATTGCCGGCTGGGGAAAAACGGAGCGGGCCCGGCAGTCCCGCTTCTTGCTGTATACCGAGATAGACGTTGTTGAGCCTGACAAGTGCAAAGCGGCCTACGCAAACCGGACTTTGGAAGGGAAAAAACTCGTGCTGACAGAAAATATGCTTTGCGCGGGAACTGAGGAGGGGGGGAAGGACTCTTGCTATGGGGACAGCGGAGGCGCCCTGGTGTTCTACGATACTAAAGCCAGGAGGTGGTTTGTTGGCGGTGTGGTCTCCTGGGGTCTGGAATGTGGTTCTGCTGGGCTCTATGGGGTCTACACTAAGGTGCCCAATTACACGCCGTGGATCGAGGACCTAATTGCACGCCATTCTTAATCGGTTTTTGTTTGTGTTTTTCAATAAAGCATAGAACACGGTTAGTTCTGTGGATTTTAATAATGCTCATCTATAGCCCCCCCTACAACCTGACTGGGGTTTATTTTGGGGAAAGAGCCACAGAATCCGATTCTAAGCTGTGCAACCAACAAATCAAGCTTTTTCACCAAGGCGAGTTGGGTTCTTTGTGAATTTCTTATGACAAAAGCTCAACTGAAAATTCCACAGGGGCCCCCAATTATGACCACGGCCCATTTTAAATTGAAAAGATTCGTAAAAATTGCCCAGCCCAAATCTATTCAGTTTTTTTTTTCATGGGGTTAAAGCCATCAGTTTTTTCCTACCGTATTTAAAGACCAAATTTAAAGTCTATCATTTTAAAGTCCAAATCTTTTAACTCCACTGGGGCTAATCTCTCCCCGCCTCCCCTTGCATTTACATTTACTGAAGCTTATCTTAATTAGCTCAACCTAGCAAACAAGGAATTCCTTTATTAGCTACCAAAGAGTTGGAGGTACTATTCTCTTTTTATAAACAGACATCCCTGACAACTGGTGGGGTGGGAAGGAGGGAGAAAGAATGTCAGGAGTATGCAGCCCATAGGAACAGGGCAAGAGCCCAGAGGCCTGCTCATTCAGCTGTTAACAGTTTGGTCTCAACTGCTGCGATCAAAATGCTCCAAGATTTAATTCACGCCCACACAAATGATGGACTGGAAAAAGGAATTCTCATCATCACATCCATTTGAGTAGCAAAGTCTCAGTAATTAAGAGATGCTCAGCAGGCAACTGAAACACACATTTGCTCACATTGGGCCTCTGTTAAATTACAATGCTGCTTATTACTAAATGAAGCTCATTAGCAAGATAATCCTTCTAGCGGTGGTAAACCGACTGTGTTCCTTATTTCCCTCTTTAAATTGCATTAGCACAATACATACAAGGGCTACAAAAGTTTAAAACAAGACTCCAGACAATCAAGTTATGAGAATTTTGTTTATTAAACTCACTTTCAACACTAACGGGGGAAAAAAATTAACGATACGAATCATGTTTGAAAACATTTCTAAGATGCTTAGGGATTGGAAGGGAAGGGACAGTAGAGCCCTTAGTGCTTGAAGTGGCATTAAAATGATCACAGCATGGGTCCCCCTCTGTTCAGAAATGGCCCTTGGGCTTTATAAATACAAGCTAACATAAATTACTGAAACCATGCTAGTGAGGTATCAAACTTACCCTCAGGATCCTTCCTGGGATGACACAGTTTAGCCTTGGGAGGTCCGAGAAAACCATATTAAGTGTTACTCAGCAGCAGTAGCTGGTGTTAATGCAAGTGCTAAAATGCAAAATTCAGATGGTACAGATTTTGGCAAATGGATCGGATTTAGGCGAAGTAAAGATTACGCAATGTAAGACTTATTATATCCTTTGGAATAGTCACAGATCTGTTTTACATCAAGAACCATCTTCCGGAATAATAAACCAGTTTTAGTTATCGAACAACCATGCCACAATAAGCACCCAGCAGATAAGTTTTAAGATCTACACGGATGTCCTTTAAAAGGAAATAGGATTTTTAGGCTGAAATGCAAACAAAATCAGGGAAGCAAAAGGTTTTAAAATGTATGAATTTAGTCGGGACCAAATTGACGGCTCCCACTACCTATCAAATGAAAGTTGTAAGTTTGTATCGAGTAAGGAACAGTATAAGGCCTGTAACTATCATTTAGAGCCAAATGTTTGCCAAAACTTTGTCCAACTGTTCACCACATTGAAACTGAGGTTAATAGCATCCTATTCCCAGCAGGGCTGAATACCCTGAGAACACAATGCTATATATACTCAAGGGTTATTTGAGATCTTTGCTTAAAATTAGTGGTGGACATTAGTGGTGCCTGCTGGCCAGGGATGGGGTACTTCATGTAACAGAATTGCATTTCAGATGTTTATTGCAAAAGGTATGAAGATAAGGCTGGGTCTTAAGTTTTGGAGTTTCTGCTACATGAGGCAGGCAAACCTAAAAAACATTTTTTAAAAACTTAAATTTTTATCCTAAACGATACTTTTAACCAATTAAAAAAATAGGAGCTCTTTTGCTCCTGGGGGCTGTCAAACACACACACGTATTACTTAAATCAGTTTTATTTAAGAATTTCCTACATTGACAAATCTTATAAAAAAGCATCCAAACACAGAACTTCAGCAAACAGCATTCATATGGATATCTTACAGACAGAAAAAACGTCCACCCGCAAGGGAACACCTGAGCTTGCAAGTGAGCTTTGCTGGAAGAAAAAAAGAAAAAAAAAATACACAGAAAGCACACTACGAACTGGATGTTCCCATCAAAAGCCCCACCTTCGGTTCACATTACCACACTTACAGGATCATTGAACAAAATAACACACACCATACAGCATTCACAGCAGAGTTGACACAAAGGAGAGGAAAAAAAAAAATACAGATATTCGTTTCACTTAACACATCCAACTAATTTGGTTAACTAAGTAAAACGCCCTCCCCACCCTTTTTTTTAAGTTCTTCCAGATCAGATGTCCGTTTTGAATGCAAGGAAAACATTCGTACGTCTGCTCCCATCGCTCTCCGCACACTCTCACCAAAGCCACAGGTCGAGGGACATTGCGTCAAGAAAAAAAAATGGTTTTTTTTTTTAAAAATCCCATAATGCACCACCAAGTCTCTCTCTGCATGCGCCTCCTTCTTTTTCTCGCACATACCAAGCCCTCACATGCCTTGGCACCACAAATCCAATCCCACACAAGGTTTTTCAGAAGTTCAAACAAGCCTTCTGGTTTTCCATCTCACAGCCTTGCGTTCACAGCGTTGAGTACGACTCCATGAAATAAAAAGAGGAGCGGATAAAATGGAACACCCACCATCTTAAGACGCAGCATGTGCAGTGTGATGGAGTCTTGGATGAGGAAAGCATGGAGACAGGAGTATTCCTAAAGCAGATATTTTTTTTTATATATTTATATATAGGTGTTTGTGGTTTTTGTTTTTTAACTGCACTGTTTTCAATGAAGTGCTTCTTCCAGACACACTTGAAATGAGATGAACTGCAAGAACTAAATGAGGTCTCCGTACTGTACTTTAGTATGAGAAGGGAGACAGTGTTAAAAGGAAAAAAAGCCGACACCAACATTGCATTCTCCACACAGGACATTTGGGGGAAGGGGAAGGAGAGAAAGAGAGAAAAATTCTTATGGCGGGGGGGATCAAATTAAATATTAAAAGAAAAAAATTAATAAGGATAGGATGCAGTTTCTGATTTTTTTTTTTTTTTTGGAAACATGCATAAGATCTCAGCTGACTAGGAAACGAGGAATCAAATCTTTACAAATTCCCATTTAAACTGCAGCACATCCGTTTTACCAGTCAGGGAAACAGTTCACGTTCAGCCACTCAATAATCCCAACTCATGTATTCCAACTCATGGTAACAAAACCTATAAAACTTCATTTAATCTTTTTTTTCCCCCTTACAAAAGAAAAAAAAAAGTGTCAAAAATACTATCGAAATATACTACACACTGAACAAATTTGATTTGATTTTTTTTTTTCTTCTTCTTTTTCCCTTTTAGTATATGCACTTTAGATTATACTTACCGGGAGCTCTAGAAAAAAAAAAAAAAACTTGATTTCCCACCAGAGTCAGTATAAGCCTGCCTACATCCCCCATCCCGACGATTTGGAATCCATGCTTGAACCAAACCCGCCATTAAACCCACTGCTGGAGCCTGTGTTGGAGGAGCCCCACCCTATCGCCGGGCCCGAGTTCGAGCTTCCGTAGGAATTGCTCCCGGAGCTAAACCCTTGGTTCTGCTCCCTCTGCATGTTGCCCTGTAGCTGGTTGCTCCCTGATGGCCCAGACTGGTTTTGCTGGCTGGCAAGCATGCCCATCATCCCCCAGCTGCTTTGCAGCGCTGCCTGGGCAGCCGCCATCATGGCGGGATTGATGCTAAAGGCCCCAAAGTTCATCCCAGCTCCCATGTTACTGCCCTGGTTGTTACCCAGTCCACCGCCTCCCCCGCCTCCCCCCCGGTTAGGAAATCCCCCCTGATTCCCAAAGCCTCCTGGATTACCACCAAATCTTCCACCTCTTTCTAGTTGTCTACTGCTATTATGCTTAGGCTCAGCATTGGATATATGGACGCTGATTCCTTTTATGATCAAGTCCTCACCACAGAGGGACTGGGCAACCTGTAGAGAACAAGGAAGGAGGGCTGAGCAAAGGGAGGGAGACAACAAACGCACAAAAAGCAGCACAAGAGCAGCAATGAATATCTAGGCTCGTTTGAAGTAGCCATGATTACCTAGCATTCCCTCACAACAGCAGAAAACTACTCTCTTTTTCTGAAACGCCAGGAGTGCGCAATACTAATTTTAACTTGCACTGTACCCATTCTGCTGAAGTCTGAAACAAAAAACCCATTCCCTCACAAACGCTTCCACTGACACTTCTAAAAGGAAGCCCATCCCACACAATTACCCCGATTATAGCTCTTAGGCAGCTGATTTTGAAATTGAATGCTGCTTCATACAAATGTATAAGTAGCCACTGGCCCAGAGGTCTGTGGCAAGATTAATCAGCTTCCCAGGCAAGCAAGGGTTGTTTTTTCCCTTCATTCTCAAGGGCAAAAATGATTAACAGCCGAGTTCATTTACAAGGTTTGCTTTGTGCCCGTTGTTATTTAAACAGTGGCAATGAAATGGAAGCATCTAATTACACAGCAATATTGAGATACTTTAGATCAAGCTTTCCCCGAATGAAAACCTCTCTTAAAATGATTGGGTAGCTGACAGGAATAAAGTAGCAATTTATAGGCCTCGTAATTCAAAAGCCAACGGCATCGACATTTAACCCACAATGAAATTAAATGCAAAACTGCTTAAGGAAAACAGAGCATGCTCCCCGGGGAAAGAGTGCATTGGGTGAATACCTGATCATCAGCAAACGTCACGAAGGCAAAAGCTCTGAATGGTTTGGGAATGAAGACATCAACCACTTCTCCGTATTGTGAAAAAAACTGACGGAGCTCATCGGCGGTCATGTCGTCAGTGCAACGGCCAACGAACACTTTCCTGCTACGCAAAGGTTCATCTGGACTTTGCTGGTACCAATGCAGAAGATTCATATTAGTTATATAAGAAAACAGTTATAGGGGCCATAACCAACAAAGGCTTTTCTCCCTCCCATAGAATAATGCAGCAAGTAGCCAACAGAAAAAAACAAAACAAAACATGAAACTCTGAAGTTGTCCCTTCCAAAGTTCAAGTGATATGACAAGGAATTCGAAATTGGAAAACTAAGGGCTTCGCTCCAGTCGCAAAACCCCTGTCAAGTTACACAAACGCCCAGACCGCTCTGATCTTCTGCCAACTTGTTTCGTAAAACAGAATCCCTAGGCCCAATTCGACCCGCAACGCCCACCAAAGTCATAACGTACCTTAGAATTGGGGAGCTTGCAGTCGCACCATCTCCCATCGATCATGTGACGCTGGGACATGACTTTCACTTGGGTTTCGTAGTCGGTAAATCTCACAAAGCCAAACCCTTTTGAGTGGCCAGTTTTGATGTCCTTCTTAACCTAGATTTGGGGGGGGGGATTATAGGACCAGAATGGCATTATGTCACTACATTCGCCTTGTTTCTAAAGTAAATTTGAAGTACGTAATAATGGAAACATGCTAATGTTCTGCCTCTTAGCTGAAGCCTCCATCCTGCGTTATGGTCTCTGATGAAAAGCTGCATAACCAGATGGGCTCCCTCGAAAGGCCGTTCCATCTGGCCCAGAGGGAGGAGGGACAGGTCTTCCCTGCTGAGAGGGAGCTCCATCTGAATCCTCCTCCAGCTAAACTAAAATTTCATTCTAACGTTAAGGACCATCAAGAACATGTGCCAGATACCTGCACCATGAGAACTTCTCCAAACGTGCTGAAATACTCCTTCAGATCTTGCTCTGTTGTTTTCCACGGAAGACCCAAAACTATCAGATCGGAGGTTTTCTGCACCGCTCGTTTCACTTTAACGGCCGACGAAGCATCCGTTTCGTCCATTTTCCTCTTGTTGTCTAAGACACAGCCGGGGACACAAACACAGATTTACATTAATCGCAACAAGAAGGCTCCCAAAGTCGCTGGAAGCTGGGTAGCCTATACTTTAGCGAACTATGATTGTTTGTGCAGTCGGAACTTGAAACTATTATTCCCAGTTATTTAAAAGAATAATTGATCTAATTTCCAACTATGTATTGTTATAGTTGATAAGAAGATTTTTTTAAAGGAAAAGAATAACTTTAAACACACACCTTTGGGATAATTCACCACGTATACCAAATTTCCCCAGCCATTATCTGGCGCATGAAGAATTCCTTCCACTAATCGGACTCCTCTCATACATTGAGATACCGGGTTTCTGTAACGCAGACCACATGCCCCTGGGAACTGAGCAGTAACTGTAGAGAGTAACACAGTCCCATCATCTTCTGAAGGGATCTCAATGGGTTCCTCATTCTCATCTTCTGTAACTCGGATGTATTCCGACATCTCCGCCGTGATGTTACTGAAGGGTAAAAAGAAACAGGTGAATAAAAAAGCAACATGCAATTTATAAACAAAAATAACCCGTGGTTTGGCTTATGGCGGAATTTAACTACTGTTTCTTTGACAGAACTTGAATTGAAAAAGGACAGATTGTGACTAAAATAATACAGCATGCTTTGTGTGGTAAAAGCTGTAAATTCAATCCTTGTATCTCTCGTGGAAAGAAATACAGGAGACTGAAAAGCTTTAAGAACCTAAAGATCCGCTTACAATCAGAATGGACAATACTACACTGAGTCTGCCTCAGTACAAAGTACCTTCCTATTTTATACACATCTTATTTTTACCTTAATAGCATTTGGGAAGATGGGAGACAGAGGTTAATGTGTCTTCCTTACAGTCCTTAAATTCAGAAAGAAAGAATAATGAATGCATATTGTATTTTACTGTATTTTACAATGAATACTGTATTTTTAACATTCAGGCATTTGGCATACAAAATCACTCCATTTAAATAATATAGTACCAACTACCATTTTAATTCCAACAATAGCCATTCAGATGCTCGGTTACATTTACGCTTACACGCTACCTTTAAAGCCTACACAACACATTCCAGTTAATCTAATTATAAAGTAGCTACTATCCCTGCCATCTCGCCAAGCTGACACCCGTCAGTCAGCTATTTAGTAACAGGGTGATTAGCAAATCAATTCCACCAGCTCAGCAAGACACTAGCCATTTTTGACTATAGTATATCCTTTGGCTTTCCTGTTCAACTGAACATGTTAAAACAAACAGCAATTTCTGTATACACTGCAACACCAAAAATGGTCCCTTTCTCTTACACAAAATCCTAAAGTATTATGATTTGTTTATTCCTCTTTATCTTGTATTTTTACATTATAGGCTGATAATGTTGCTTACGCTCAAAGAGAAAATATGTGTATGGATATGGATAAATGTATAATTAAAAATAACACCCATCTTGTTTTTAATTGATCTATAAGCTGCCACAGTAGTAACTATGCAGAAAAAATAAATATAAAGTCTTTAAAGAAATAAACTTTTAACATGCAATACTACAAAAAGTAAAAAATCTTACACAAAATGAGGAATAGCATACAGGTAGTCCTCGACATAGGACCACAATTGAGTCCAAAATTTCTGTTGCTAAGCAAGATAGTTGTTAAATGAATTTTGTTCCATTTTACAATCTTTCTTCTCAGAGCTGAGTGAATCACTGCCACTGTTAAGTTAGTAACACGGTTAAGGCTTCCCCATTGATTTTGCTTGTCAGAATGTCGCAAAAGATGATCACATGACCCCAGGACACTGCAACTGTCATAAATATGAGTCAGTTGAATTTGGATTACATGATCATGAGGATGCTGCAATAGTCATTACTTGTGAAAAACCTCCATAACTTATTTTTTTCCAAGGCTGTACATTTGAACAGTCACTAAAGAACTGTTGAAAGTCAGGTACTGAAACTGTTTCTAAAATATGCATTAAAAACCTATTTCCCATTCTTAAGAGTTTCATTAGCAATAGCATTAGCATCACAAATGGAAAGCTGAGTACAAAGTTTATTCCGGTCACACAGTTCAGAGAACCCACAACAGGGACGTATGACTCATTTGTTTCAAAGAAGACTGCTTTGGAATAAAACTGTCACTACAGTATCAAATGAATGAAGATGATACAGTATAGAATGTGTGTATTTTCTTGAATTGACTCCTCTATCATTCTGGGATGTCAGAGCTAATTCTCCTTCCACTTGGTTGCCCCTAACAGACCACTTACAGAGTTCTTATTGGATGGCAAGCACACAACTTTGCAACAACTGCTGATAAAAACTGTGGGATCTAATAGAAATTCAAGGACAATTTCTGTTGCAAATGGATTTTCTTGCAAGATGCTTTTTTTTTGTTTACAACTGTAAACACACACTCTAATGGTACAAACAGCTACAAATGTAGCCACCCTGGGAGAAAATTACCCATAAAATGTACCCTGGAAATTAAGATTAAATATTCTCGAAATAATTACGCAAAAAATTCCTCTCTTTTTCCAATTGTCCTATCGAAGGAGGTAACTCAGCAATTTAGAAACAACTTGGAAGTAAGAAGTTTCCTTGACTTCTCATTGCTTCGTCGTAATATCCACGAAATTTTCTTGACACAATACGGAAGTGATTTGTTTAGGGACTTTGTTTAGGGATTCTTTGTTTAGGGATTGTTTAGGGACTTTTAGGGATTGTTTAGGGAGTTTTTTTTTAAAAAAACTCCTAATAGAAATTCAAGGACAATCCATTTAAAACTTCTCAGCCGAACGGACAGCCCTAGGATTTGCTAGTGGTCCCCCATTCAAGTTCTTAGTCCGACCTTTATTTAGGATTTCAAAATCAGCGGTGGAAGGGAAAAAAAAAAAGACATAGGTTGAAAAGTACTTGAAATAAAGAGCAGGGGCCCAGAACTGAGGCAAGCCTCGTTTGGCTCTGATCCAAGACCACCACCTCCTTTGAACTACAAGTCCCATCAACCTCCATTCCTCTCAGCATTGGCTCGGAATTGGGGGGAGGGGGGGCGCAACAGGAGCCAGCACGGACTGGAAAGCGCCTTTTGCGAAAAGAAGGCCTCGCTGGCTAAATGGTGGAAATGGTAGTTCCCTCAAACATGGAAGGCTCCCAGCTGGAGAAGAGCGCGAGAGAAAGGCCCATACCCGCCATCGGGGCTCGGCGGGGTTTCAGTCACCGCAGCCTCCGCGTGAGGGCCCGGCCTTTCCCCCGCTCGGGCGACCCCTGCACCAAGCCGACTCGTCCTCCAAGCCCTGGACTCACCGTTGGCGCGAAGCCTAGGCAGGACAAGACAGAATCGGTTGCGACTGGGCCGCGAGAGGACCTTGGGCAAGCTCCCGGCTGAGGCCTCCACTCTCCTCGCTGTCGACAAAATGGCGGCGCCCTCTTTTCCCCTCAGCAACTGCGGACCAAAGCGGGTCCCAGAACGAGCCACGCCAAGACGCTTGGGGGGGGACGCCGGGACGTCTCACTGAAGGCTTTTATCATCGCGAGGGAAAAATGTGCTCCGGAGGGGCATAGTTCAAAATTCATTTTAGTGTTATTTCCATTTCGAGGTTTCTCACATTCTCTTTCTTCGCCAAAGGACCTAATTTGAAGCTTGTGGTGTAGTTCCTCCCCCCTTACAGAAACCCAAGAGTGGTATAGCCCATTCGGCCGTGTCATGCGCATGCGTTTACAACGACGATGCCAAATTGTTAGTGGAGAGGTGCCAGACTCTTAAGGAAAGCGTCTGTTATTTCTGCGCATGTGGAAAGAGGCGGGATCTGGGGAAAACCCGAGCGGGAAAAGGGCGGGAAAAATGGCGCATGCGCAGTCCCAGAAGTGCGAAGTCTTTTCAATTTCCTTTGTGTTGAAGAGATTCGTGTAGGTTTTTGCGCTGTTGTTTTTAATAAGCGCCCCCCCCCTCAAAAAGTGTATTTTTAACCCCAAATTTCCTTCTGAGATGCGTGTAGACTACCGAAGTTGACTTTGTAGCGAAATTCAGAGCTATAAAAGGCCGGTTTTGCAACTAGACTCCTCTTTTCTCCTCAGTAATTCTTGCAGAACTTTTGTATTTAATATTTTAAACATTTAGAGGGGTTGAAACTCACCCTGGGTCGTGCCTACAGCCAATGCATTGGAATAGACCCTTGTAGAAGCTTCATTTCTAATTTAAAACACTGCACCTGATGCAGAAAAAGCTGATTATTTAAAAAAAGCCACATAGTAAATATCAGTGAACAGTATATATGCCCAAGAATTGCAAGAGCAAGCCAGAAAGAAACCCACAGAATAAGCTGTATACAAATAAGAATATCCTGTTTTTCTTTCATTTCTTTAAAATACATTTTGTGTATTGCATTTTCAACATTTCATGTTTTCCTGCTGAGAAAGTAGCAAAGAATAAATGAGACAATTTACTATAAGGCAAGCTATTTTCTTACCACTTGAGGTGGCAATTTTTAAAACATTAGATACTATGTAGCCTGCAGTCTGGTTTAACCTCTCTATGGCCACATCCAGTATCTAAAATTAATCTGTTTTTCCTAAGGAGGAATGTGTTCACAATTTGTGGCTAAGCCAAGATATTTTGGTGACAATGTGCTGAATAACCCAAAACTAGCATGGCTGTTGCATCATACAGAACTATAAACTATGATTCACATATAATAGCTGGTTTCACATGTAGTAAGCCAAAACCAACCCAAGCATATTGGGTTGAGGAGTTGGAGGGATGTATAAAATACAGGCAAATGGGGCCTGATTCTCAAACCATGGCTTGAATCAAATTAGGAGGTATAACTAAACCTCCAAGATCAGGTAGAGTATTTCTAAGATATTGCAAATGTCTTAGAGATATCCAAGAGAAGGCCTAAAATTTGGTTTCACTTATTCTTTTCCTCCTATTTTGTTACTTCTGAACTATTTTATCTGTTTTGGAGAGCATAGTTGTGTGGTTTAGTTTACCCAAGACTATTTTATTGAAGATATTCTGTTTGAAAGCAAGCTGGTCCAAGTTCAGTTTAAAGTTAATACAGTTAAACAGGAAGAGCAACTGGAGCTCCAGATATTGTCTGTCAAACATTTGACTGGCATAATTTTATGCTGAAATATTATTCTTTTTGCCAGTCATTCTTTTGAAATTGGCATTCATAGTTAGAAGGTAGTGGTACAGTGTTGATATCTTCCTATTAGATTTTCTTTTAACTGCAAGAAATTTTTATATAGTTATTAGTCTTATAACTGTCATTGGATTCCCCCATTTAGGATTAGTGAAACTGGAGTCTTCCTAGTCATGCATTTCAGGGGTCTTCAAACTTGGCCCTTTTATGACTTGTGGACTTCAACTCCCAGAATTCCTCAGCCAGACATGTTGGCTGAGGAATTCTGGGAATTGAAGTCCACAAGTCATAAAAGGGCCAAGTTTGAAGACCCCCTGATGTATCTGATGAGAGAAGTTTCAGTTCTCTTTTGCAAAAACTTTTTCTTGTTGGCAACATGCTATCTTATCTGGAGATGAATGAACCAAGTGCAGGTGAAAAGATTACTTAGTTCTACATTTTGTCTCTGAAAAAATACATGGATTATTTGTTTAGTTTCTGAAGTTGTAAAACGTTGCTAATAGTTGCAATTGCATTTGACTTCCAGTTTGTTTGGATTACTTTTCTTCTTAGTAAACATGTTGCAGAAAAAATTCTGGTGCAAATACAAGTGATCTGAAGACAACGGGGGAAAAAAGGCTCTACACAGGTAAGTGCTTGAATATTGTGAACATTTACACTTTATTTTGTTCCAACTTAAAAGGAATAACCCAAAGATTGTGATTAGCCACAGAAGCCTTCTTAGCTTCTGACTTGCACACACTGCAGAAAAATAATCTTTTTAGTCATTTGGAATTTTGGTATAATAATCCTACTTTCTTCACTTGTTTCTTCACCAAATGCAATTTTAAGCCACATAATAATAATAAAAAATCTTTATCCTGGCATAACAGCTCAGTTAGGCAAACTGATCTTCAGGTATTCCATACTTTGACAGTTTAGCCAATGCCCCATGGAATATAAATCTACAGCTACTAAGCATGTTTAGTTAAGTGTACCTACAACCTAATATGTAACATGTTAAAGTTAAAAAACTTGTTGTCAAGGTAAATGTGCACATGATGTAACGATTAGCAAGAAAGAAGCAGAAATAGTTATTGAAATATAGCTACTTGTAAAAACAGTTTAGCTTCAAATAACTATGTTGTGAGATATTTGACTTGCAAACCAATCTTGTTTTTTCTTCTTTGTCTGAATCAGAGATAACCTGTTTAACTGTGGGTTAATTGATACCTGTACAATAGCTTGACCCTCTAATGAACTAACCATTTTTCACCGACATTCCTCCTATGTTATTCTGTTGTCAAAACCTAGCCTTCTGAAAGATCATGGCCCTTCCAATCCTTTTATCTGTGCACTTGCTTTAATTATTGTTACAATGGCAGTGTCGATAAAGCTAACAAATTGAACAGAACCATAAGTAGTTTTCTCTGGGACCCCTAAGACAAACATCTCAGATGAATCTCCTTTGTTCACATTAAGAGCAGAGCCCTAACAGAATAACCAACAATTTTAAGAGGTGTGAACTTCAACTCCCAGAATTCACTGCTGGCTGAAGAATTCTGGGAATTGAAGTCTATACTTCTTAAACTTGTCAAGATTGAGAAACACTGTGCTAAACAATGCAGGAGAAAATCTGTATAGTGTCTCCTTACTGCCACCTAGTGGCTGCTATAGTCAATAGGCATCTGCCTGCTTCCACCTGCTATTTTGTTTGCTTAATGAAGATGCTTAACCTGGGTATATATATGCTGGTCCTGCATCATACAGTACCAGCCTGGTTCTTTTAAAAAGATTGACAGCCCAGCTTGATCCCTTAGGCCTCTGGCTCTAAAAACAGCTGGATTTATTGCATATATATCACTAAATCAAGTTATGGTGCACATCAGTTTTCCAGAATCAATATATTTTCTGAAAATACTTTAAAAAGATTGTTTGCTTCTGTCTAGAATTCCATAGTTATATAGAAGCTGTGACCTATGGACATTTCAATTCAAAATGGCCAGACTGGACTGGGGCAGGGTATGATATCAGCAAATGTCTTGTGAGCAAGGAGCAGAAGACGGCTCTTGCTGAGACTACTGGAGACATAGTTCTTTCTCAGCCATTAGTTCCTTTGACACAGCAAGATGCAAGTAGCTAAAAGCTCCCAGTCTAAACAACACAGAGAGCTGGCAATTACCACAGCAGGATTCAGCAGCAGAGCTGCTCCAGCACAGCTGTTTTCTCATTAGAACCAGAAAGTCATTTGCACTCTGGGACTTGAAGCAACATCAACCACGATGCCAGGAATTTAAGTATCTCTTGCTTTTCTCTATAAAGGAGGAAATGGGAAGAAGAATTGGGGTGATCACTGCCACCACTGTCCATATGTTGAAGGGGTGCCTCAGACTGTTGATACTGTTTGGATGAAACATTGAATTCATAAAAAGACAACTTTATGAAAATCATTAGTGAAGCACTGATGAAATTGCTTAAATACATCCTAAATTTTGTTATAGTCCTTATTCTAGATGCACATTCACCTGTCAAGAGATAGGTAGGACCAACATAGGAGACTGCCATATACTGAATTGACTGTTTAGCTGACAGACAGTGAGTCTGTTTTTTTCCCTTTTTTTTTGAAGATGGGAACCATATCAATTCTTTTCCAATCCTCTGGTAGTTTCACAGTGCTCCAGGGTTTTTTTTAAAGATATGGTGCAATGATTCTGAGATGACACCTGCCAGCTCCTTCAGAACTGGGATGTAATCCATTAGGTCCCAGTGATTTATATTCATCGAGGTCAGACAGGTGTTCTCTTATACCATTTTCTTGCTTATTTTAATTTTTATTTCTAGTCTGTCTTTTACAGTTATGTTTTTAGTAGGTTGGGCTATAGTTTCTGTCTGCATGAAGACTGATGCAAAGAATGAGTTAAGCAGCTCTGATTCTCTAAATCAGCGGTTCTCAACATTTGTGTGACGGCGACCCCCGTCACACAAACGTTATGCGCATGCGCGGCGCGGCTGCGCATGGGGGCGGGGCCCTGCGCGCGGCGCGCATGCGCGGCGCCACCCCCGGAGGTGCGGCGCCGCCCCCATGTGCGGCGTGCATGCGCGGCGGCGCCCCCCGGAGGCGCACCGCCACCCCCACGCGCGGCACGCATGCGCGGTGGCGCCCCCGGGAGGCGCGCCGCCGCCCCCACGCGCAGCGCGCGTGCGCGGCACCGCCCCCCCGGAGGCGCAGCGCGCCCCTGGAGGGAACAAAATGGCGGATCGCCGCGTTTGGCGACCCCACAAAAGAGGTCGATCGACCCCAAATGGGGTCGCGACCCATAGGTTGAGAACCG